AAGATCGTTGACCCCTAAACAGAATTATTTCTATAATTATTGAAAAATGGTCAAAATCAGTTAACTTCCGTCGGTAGCTTGCCATAAAGCCAAGCTTGTCGCACCTTTACTGAATCACATACCAAATTTAAAAGTTTTAATTTCAGCCACCTCCATTAAAAATAAGACTTTTTATGAGCCTCCTTACAAGCTAAGGACTTTTGAGAGCCTTTCATTTACTAGCAACCCTAGAAGAGTTTTTTGTACTTCTGCAACTCTACGAGACAAGATCGTCTAATCAGTTAACTCCCGTCGGTAGCTTGCCATAAAGCCAAGCTTGTCGCACCTTTACTTAATCGCATACCAAATTTTAAAGTTGTAATTTAAGCTACCTCCTTTAAAAAGAAGACTTTTTAGGAGCCTCCTTACAAGCTAAGGACTTTTGAGAGCCTTTCTTTTACTAGCAACTCTAGAAGAGTTTTTTGTACTTCTGCGACTCTACGAGAGACGATCGTTTAACGGTCTTCAATTATTCAGGAAATGTTTAAGAGATCAGATTTTCAAGACATTTGAAAGATCGTTGACCCCTAAACTTCGAATAATTACAAAAAACCTACTAAAGTCGAGAATATTTAAAGGCATTTTCACATCGAACATTTTCCATACGCCTTTCAAACACTTGCGAACTTCTCAGAAAACCTTCTAAGTAATCTGTATATTAAAGATGCAAGACTTTATGGGGGCTTGAATACATGGTAGAACATCAGAAAAATTCTGTAAATCGTATGCCCTCTATAGACTTCCCTTAGAAAAACTATGTCCTTTCCCAGATATATTGTATCTATCGATAACGTTGAAGAGATCTTCTTCCTTTGGAGACAATAACATATTTTCCCAGTCGCTGGCCAGCAATTTCTAAATAAATAATTCAATATTTGTGCAGACATTTTGTATTACGAATGTCCTCTCAGTCCTCCTCCTCCTGTTGTTCATACAGACTGAAGCAATGAAGCAATTTAAATGCATTATTTAGTTATCTCTTTATTCTTTCGCCTTCCCCACCGCACACCCGCCTACCCATTGTAAATTTTAAACATAGGTTTGTGTTTCACTTGCATTCGTCGCTCCATCATCATTTCCTTGTTGTGTCAGCCATCCATCCAGTCAGCCAGCTCGCTGGGAAAACAGGAAGTAAATCCAGGATTTTGTAAACACAAACATTGACAAAGGACCTATTCCTGGTTACAAGTTAAGGATATTGTCTTTTAGCAATATTCAGTTGCTTTTATGCAAACAAGCCAACAAACTGTCAATGCTGCTTCATATGGCCTCCTTTGGGTTTCTTGAAGAGTTGGAGGAGGAGGAGAAGGAGGTGGATAAAGCAAAAATCCTGTCGAGATGTTTCCATGTTTTCTTCCATTGAATGAATGTAAACAATTGAAACTCGATCAGTTTTATCATTATTGTTATGCTTGATTGCCTTAAAATGGGAAAAAGGATATACGTTTTTGTAGTTATCGTTTTTGTTGCTATATTTGGTGAACGACGACAACAAGGAGGATGAGGACGACGTTGGTTCGTAACATTGGCTATGCACATTTTCCTTGACGACAAACAATGCCAAAGGAATCGATGGTTGACTGAAAAGCAATAAATTCATTGAATCAACAAAACCATCATCAATGGATGGGTTAACAGAGACACACAGAGAGAGCGAGAGACAAAACGTTATGGCTCCTTTGTCGTGGCAAGAAGTTCATTCGCATTGCTAAACAAGCCTTTGATGCAGAACTTGAAATGTTATTCGTGTTCGACAGGAAGGATGATTTCTTTAAAAGATGATTTATGTCAAAGTTTGCAAAGTGGCCTGGGGGCATAAAGTCCTTTTCTTAAAAAAAAGGAAAATTGGAATTTAAGGAAAATTTAAATTTAAAGTTGGGTGAAAACATCACCGTTTTTTTGAATGAGCGAAGACGACTTTTCTTAAGCAATTTTGAGATTATACAGGGTGGGATGAAAAAAACTGTAACCAACTTCAAACTGCTGTCATTTCCAAGCCACTCGTCCGACAGCTGTTAAAACTATTACAGTGGTAGCTCATTATATTGGTAACAAGCGTACAAAAGCATTTTGGTGAGAATTTTACAGAAAAAAAGTTATCCGCTATGGAATTCAAGCGTGATAGTGTGATTTTTTTATATTTGGCTGGAAAACCACAAGTGGCTATCATTAGAGCATTCCAGCATTTAAATGTGAACAAATCTTTTGTGTCTCGTACCTTCGCTCGTTAACGTGATACTGGTAGCGTAACCCGACGTCAAGGAAGTGGAGGGAAGAAAATAGCAACATCAGCAGAATTGCTTCCATAAGTAAAGAAGCGCTTTGATTGAAACCCCTCGTCGCAGTGGTCAAATAATGGCTCGTGAGCTTAACATATCGCAATATTCCATTCGGCAAATATTGAAAAATGAGCTCGGGGGTAAAGCCATTGAAATTCCAAAGAGTGCAAGAACTTACACCGCAACATAAAGAAAATTGACTCAAACGAGCTAAAGAGTTGCTTCGCTTGGCCGAAAGTGGTGAACTGCCCAATTTGGGATTCTCCGATGAGAAAACATTTGTTGTCCTGCAGTTTGTAAACAATCAAAATTATCGTGTTTACTTGCCAAAGAGGTCAGCTGAAAATGTGCACCTTCGGTTGGCCATCAGAACTCAAGCGCCGGTCATGGTGATGGTGTGGGCCGCCATAACAGACGATGACTGCTCTCCGCTCGTATTAATCGACCTTGGCATTAAAATAAATGCCGAATATAATCGCGAAAATATTCTGGAGGGTTATTAAAGCCTTGGTCACGCAAACATTTTGGCCGCTGACCTGGGACATTCGAACAGGACTCAGCACCATAGCACTATGCACGCGCCAACACCCAAGAATGGTGACAAAATGAGGTTCCTCGCTTCATTTCCAGCTCACAATGGCCACCAAAATCTCCGGATACAAATCCGTTGGACTATTGTGTCTGGAGTATTTTAGAAAGCAAGGTTGGCACTAAAAAATACCCAAGTGTCAATCACCTCAAGCAAGCGCTTCGCCGGGAATATGCCAAAATACCGCAGAACAACATTCGGGCAGCGTATGACGGTTTCATTGGCCGTGTGAGGGCCATAATTCGTGCCAAAGGTGACCAATTCGAACAAATCTAAACTTATTCTAAAATGTGATGCTATTTCCGACATTTTTTGCTTTCATTCAACAAAATTTAAAAAAAAAAATGTAAAAATTATGGCATTTGACTTTGTTGCAGTTTTTTTTATCTCTCGCTGAATGAAACGCAAAGAATCGTCAAGGATATGCGTGTTTTATACCCTCATCCATGCTACGTAACTTTTCGAAATAATGACGTTAGACTCCACAAAAAAATTAAGAAAAAAAATAAATAAATCGAGATTGAGATGTGCCAAGTCCGAATGGAATCGGATATTAATTTTGCGGTTCATGGGCTTCACGGATATTCAAAATGTTGACCCTTTGTAGGGGAGGTACCAGAAGGAATGTTCGGATCTCTACCGTATTTATAATTGATTTTGTTTTGACAGAAATATTGAGATGTTCCAAGTCCGAATGGAATCGGATATTAATTTCGTGGTTCATGGGCTTCACGCATATTCAAAATGTTGAGCCTTTGTAGGGGAGGTAACAGAAAAAATGGCCCGATCTCTACCATTTTTATAACAGGTCGTGTTTTGATAGGATTATTGAGATGAGCTAAGCCCGAATAAAATCGTATCTTAATTTCATGTTTTCATGGGTATTCAAAATTTTGGCCATTTATGGGGGAGGTACCAGAAAAAGTGGTCCGATCTCTACCATCTTTGATTGAAATATAGACGTGCTAAGTCCGAATAAAATCGGATCTTAATTTCGTGTTGTATGTATTTCATGGATATTCAGATTTTTACCCTTTGTGGGGGAGGTACCAGAAGTTATATCCCACCTTCAAATCAGATCTAGTGTTAGAAGAAATTATGGGATGTGATGTGAAGAGAATCGGGTGCCTATTTCGGATTTTATGATCGTGTTGTTTATTCAAGATTTTTACCCGTCGTGAGGGAGGTACCAGAAGGAATGGTCCGATATCTATCATCTTTGTACTAGATTTAGTTTTGATAGAAATATTGATATGTGCCAAGAATAGAATAGGATGATAATTTCGCGTTTTATGGGCTTCACGGATATCCACAATTTGGACACTTTGTAGGGGAGGTACCAGAATGAAAAGTCCGATCTCTACCATCCCATATCTTGTGTTGATAGAAATATCGAGATTTGCAAAGTCTGAATGGAATCAGATGCTCATTTCGCATTTTATGAGCCTCATGGTATTCAAAATTTTGACGCTTTATGGGGAAGTACCAGAAGGAGTGGATCGATATACCCTGTCTTTACACCAGAGCTTGTGTTAATATATATATATATATATATATATATATATATATATATATATATATATATATATATATATATATATATATATATATATATATATATAAATATATATATATATATATATATATATATATATATATATATATATATATATATATATATATATATATATATATATATATATATATACGATTTCAAGATATTTTATAATTATTCAAAATGTTAACTCTCTGTGCATTATAAAATATTATTTTTGTTTTCAAAATTCCAACCTCTTGTGGGGGAGGTACCAGTAGGAGTGGACCGCTTGGTAAAAGTTTTCCCTTTGAAATTTAGAAAACGGGCTGAGAAAAAAAAGGTGGAGTTTTCGAAAACATGCACACAGGACATAAACGTTTCTAAGAATTAAAAAAACGGTACAATATTGTTATAGAGCGGTCGACGAGGGAAAATAATTTGAAAATTTTTCCACGGGAATAGGATAGGGTCTCGAAATCGGAATTATAGGGGAGCAAAGTAAACCTTCCGACTAACTTCTACAGCAATTATTTGAATAATTTTCATCACAACTCACCTGATCTGGCACCACTATCACATGAATTCAAACGTTGACTCATCGGTGTATCGAAGCTACGAAATCGGGACACATTCAAGTTGTTTACAACGGCCGCTGCACCAACATTACCACTTCCGGTACGACTGAACTGCGACTTTCTTGAACGTCCCATAACATTGTGACTTTTCGAGCGTTCAAACGACGACCGCTCATGATGCTGGGAGCGTGGTGAGTAGCGATTGGCCACCGGTGATGTACTATGGCCACTGGCCACACTATACGAGGGAGGAGCTTCTTTTACCGAAGTATTCAGATAGGCTGTGGTCTTTTGGGTCTGTGGCGATTGCGATGACGATATGGATGCGGCTGGTGATTGATATTTGGGTGAAGAGTCACGTGATCTTAGGCTACCACTACTACCACCACCCGAGTCTTTTTTACTCAAATAGTTTGGTGAATTTCCCGTTAGTGTACTGAAATTGGGCGATCTATCTCGGGGCATGGGTACGGGCTTGACAGGCCTCTCCGTTAGATTGCCATCAAAGCTGCGCGAGAATGTCTCCACATAGGTGTCCGTGGGTGTGGGCCTGCGATTGTCATACTCAAAACTGCGCGAAAAGACCATACCCTTGTTGTTGGGTCCGGCCTGCAGATTGCAGTTGCTGACAATCGGCTGGGGTTGGGGACTGGGGCGACTGGCAATGGTTCTTCGGCGATCGAAAGACTTGGCTTTGATGCTACTATCTTGAAAGGCAGGTGGTGGTGAGAGAATGGGAGTTATGGGAGGCGGGGATTCGTGATCATTGAGATTTTTCACAGGCAAGAAACCAGGACGTTCATTGAGTATACTGGCTATTTGCGGATCCACAATCCGATAGCCGGGCCTTAAAGCTGAATCTCGCTTGCCATTGCTGGCTCCCAGTCGCGCCTCATTGCGCTGTATCAACTCCTCCACTTTGCTGCTGACAAACTTCGGTGGTTCCACAATGGCATGTTGATGCTGCAGCAATGCCTGCCGTGTCATGTCGGAACGTCTGGTATTATCGATCTGTATCACCCGTATGGTATTGCGCAAATCGCCATTTTGATGGCCATAATTGGAACGGCGGTAGCCACGATTTTCATCATTGCTGCGTTTCGTATTGACCTGTACCCAACCAGATTTGTTCAAATAAATCTCTTCCTTGTTGGCAGGTGCCACCGCTTGGCGGGAGCCCGAACCCCCATAGTAATGTTCCCCAAACAAATAGGTAGGCATGTGTAAACCGGCACCACTTGAGGTCGAAGCACTGGATCCACCACCGCCACTGCCACCCATGTGGTAATGCATTCTACGCGCCTCCAGTTTCTCGTTGAAACTGCGCGAGGATGCTTCCAGGCTTTCGCGACGCTTGGCAACGTATTTCTGAAAGGCCGACAGATGTTGGTAATCTTCGTTGCTTTTCGTCGCCGCCGACCCGGCTGTTGACTTTTCGCTAGGGCTGTGACAGTCTCTTAGCTCTGAGTGTGCGTGCGGCGTTTGGTGGTGTTGAGGACTGCCATAACGGCGATTGTGATGTTTGGATGGACTGGCTCTGAGTTTGGTGCGTCGCTTCTTCGGTGGCAATGCCGGCAACGGTAGGGTACTCACATCAATTTTATCCAATGTCGAAGAGGATAGTTCATCGTTTTGTGATTCGCGTGTAATTGACTCTCGTGTTAGATGACTATCGTCCGATTGTGCTTCACTGGAATCGAGGCAAGAATAATCTTGACGTTGTAATGTTGGACGTCGAGATGTACTGGAAGTAGTAGTAGTAGTTGTTGTTGTTGCTTCAGTTTCGTGTATTGTTGTTGTGTGGCATGTAGTTATTAGTGGGATTTTTGGCGAAGAACTGAAATGAAGAGAAGGAGAAGAAAAAAATTTAATGAATTAAAGAACACTGAGAAAATGAAAAAATCGAAAAAACACAAATATTTGTCAATATTACCCATAATTTTTTAAAATCCACAATTCATGTTCTGTATATTGAGTGCAAAAATGATATAAAAATAAAGGACCAATAAGGTTTTGGACCTTGAAAAAATTATTTTATGAAATGCACGTTTATTGGTCAATTGCTCCTTGAAAAATATGATTAAAAAAAATTCTCGTTAATCACTTAGTTGGTCCTTGGAAGAAATTACTTAAAAATTCTCAATTAATGGTCTGTTGGTCCTTGAAAAAAATAATTTAAAAATCCACGCTTATTGACCACTTGGTCCTTGAAAAGAACAATTTAAAAAATCCACGATTATTGGCCACTTGGTCCTTGAAAAAAATAATTTAAAAAATCCACGTTTATTGGTCTATTGGTCCTTGAAAAAAATAATTTAAAAAATCAACGATTATTAGTTTATTGGTCTTTGAAAAAAATAATTTAAAAATCCACGTTTATTGGTCTAATGGTCCTTGAAAAAAATAATTTAAAAAATCCACATTTATTGGTCTATTGGTCCTTGAAAAGAATAATTTAAAAAAATCCATTGGTCTATTGGTCCTTGAACAAATTTTTTAAAAAATCCACATTCATAGGTATATCGCTCCTTGAAAGCACTAATTAAAAAAACACGTTTATTTGTCTACTGGTCCTTTAAAACAATTATTAAAAAACACGTTTATTGGTCTTCTTTAAAAATCCACGCTTATCGGTCTATTGGTCCTTGAAAAAATATTCTTTAAAAATCCACGCTAATCGGTCTGTTGGTCCTTAAAAAATTATTTAAAATCCAAGCTTATTGCCACTTGGTCCTTGAAAAAAATTATTTAAAAAATCCAAGTTTATTGGCCACTCGGTCCTTCAAATAAAATTATTTAAAAAAATCCAGGCCTCTTGTCCTTTAAAAAGTATTTTAAAAAATCCATGTTTATTGGTCCTTAAAAAAAAATTATTTAAAAAATCCACGCTTATTGACCTATTGGTCCTTGAAAAAAATAAATTAAAAAATCCACGTTTATTGGTCTATTGGTCCTTGAAAAAAATAATTTAAAAAATCCACGTTTATTGGTCTATTGGTCCTTGAAAAAAAATAATTTAAAAAATTCACGTTTATTGGTCTATTGGTCCTTGAAAAAAAAATTAAAAAATCCACGGTTATTGGTCTATTGGTCCTTGAAAAAAATAATTTAAAAAATCCACGTTTATTGATCTATTGGTCCTTGAAAAAAATAATTTAAAAAATCCACGTTTATTGGTCCTTGAAAAAAATAATTTAAAAAATCCACGTTTATTGGTCCTTGAAAAAAATAATTTAAAAAATCCACGTTTACTTTGGTCTATTGATACTTGAAAAAATAATTTAAAAAATGCACGTTTATTGGTCAGTTGGTCCTTGAAAAAATAATTTAAATAAAAATCCATGTTTATTGGTCTATTGGTCCTTGAAAAAATAATTTATTGGTCCAATAGACCACGTTTATTGGTCTATTGGTCCTTAAAAAAATAATTAAAAAAATCCATGTTTATTGGTCTATTGGTCCTTAAAAAAATAATTAAAAAAATCCATGTTTATTGGTCTATTGGTCTTTAAAAAATAATTTTAAAAATCCACGATTATTGGTCTATTTGTCCTTGAAAAAATAATTTAAAAAATCCACGTTTATTGGTCTATTGGTCCTTGAAAAAATAATTTAAAAAATCCACGTCTATTGGTCCATTGGTCCTTTTAGAAAATAATTTAAAAAATCCATGTTAATTGGTCTATTGATCCTTGAAGAAAATAATTTAAAAAATCCACATTTATTGGTCTATTGGTCCTTGAAAAAAATTATTTAAAAAATCCACGCTTATTGATCTATTGGTCCTTGAAAAAATATTTTAAAAAATCCATGTTTATTGGTCTATTGGTCCTTGAAAAAAATTGTTTAAAAAATCCACGTTTATTGGTCTATTGATCCTTGAAGAAAATAATTAAAAAAAATCACGTTTATTGGTCTATTGGTCCTTGGTCTATTGGTCCTTCAAAAAAAAAAATTAAAAAATCCACGCTTATTGGTCTATTGGTCCTTGAAAAAAATTATTAAAAAAATCCACACACCAACACATACACACATTTCATTCATTCCAACCGATATGCAATTAATTAAACAAAATGATAAAATACCTACTTGTATGTAATTAAATGGGATTAATACCTAAAAGTATGCTTTACATTAAATTGAAAATTCTTCTGAAACTGAAAACATCCCCATCCCCCCATTTTAAAAGTTGGGAGAATACATACATAGCTGATAATTTATGGCCTCATATGCAAAAAATAAACATTAAAATTAATTATGATTTCCACGAAGAAAAAAAAAAACAAAAAACCAAAAATAAAACGGAGGGCACTTCTGCTGGCCAGCAGCAGCAAAGCGGCAGAAGTTGCATTGCATTGTAAATTAAAATTCATTAAATTATTATTGAACTTTTTCAGTTCAATTGGCCATAAGAAAGAGATGGGATTATTTTAAGTGGAATATTAAAGTAATTTCAATATTGTTTCTTTTTTTTTTTTGACACACAGAATATTAAAATATCTTTAAAAACTCTGCAGATTGTGAAAGATATTTTTAATTACAATAATTGAAAAGCATAATTTTCTTTTTGCAAAAGAAAGTTAATTGCTTAAGATATTAAAATAGAATCCCTGAATATTAAAGTATTGCGTGTTGAGCAAACCTACACACACACACACAAGTGGAAAACACAAAAGATTGATGGGCCATTTACATCAACAATTCCGAAGTTTCCCTACTAATTACATTTCGTCACTGTGATGAGAATACACACACACACACACAAATATATAGGAAATTGATAACGTGTAAACATTAATGTATATTTAAATGCTTGTAAGTGGAAAATCATGTTTGTATCCTTGTCAAAAAACAGAACATATCTCTTGGCCAGATGTCTTGAAAGTTTTTCAATCATTCATATGTCTTGGCCGATGTTATACGTTTGGGAAAACACGTAAATGTTTAAAGAAAAATTAGTATATTTCATGTCAATTAGATAATTTTTGTCTTACATAAGTTCGATGGTCAAAGGGCCTTAAGGCAAGCAAGCAGGAATGAAAATATGTTTTTTGGTTATTTGAGCTTATATTTACAACCTAGAAGGTAAAACATCGGCGCCGTAAAATAATGGAAAATTCAAATTTAAAGCATGACTAACAAATGTCAATGTATTTTTATATCCTACAACACTATGTGTTGGGGGTATTATAAGTTTGATTGGGCCAAAAATTATGTAACACCTCGAAATATTGGTTTCTTACATAGGAAAATATATATGGATCTTCCTATCCCGCCGAGCTAAGTCGATCTAGCTTTGTATGTCCGTCCGTCCGTCTGTCCATGTTAATTTGCAATCACTCTACAGGTCGCAATTATGGCCCGATCTTCACGAAATTTAGAATGGAGGCGGGGCTAGAGCCAGAATAAATCTATTGCTTTTGGAGATTACCGCATAATATTTAGTGGTTGAAATGGACCAAAAACTGAACATTTTCCTGATTTTGCAGTTCCTCTACAGGTCGCATTTATAGACCAATCGACGGGGAAGTTAGCATGGCGCTAGACCTTAGGGCTGGGCAGAAGCTTTCCAATTTTGATGGTCATCGGGTAATATTTAGTGGGTGGAATAGACCATAACATTTGTGTTAAAAAAAGTCAAATTTTCCATTAAACCGCGGATATTTTTAATCCCGGCGATATCAGAGATAGAAGAACAGGTCAATTCTGATCGTTACATAGATCCCGATAGTAACTATATCGGATATATATAGCGAAATATATACAATGTATATATACAAAGGAAGGGGATGTTAGCTATAATACTTATATCCCAAGAATGACTGGACCGATTTTGACAAATTCTGTCAATTCAGAATGACCTCTTGGCATAAAAGTATAAAATCTAAAAAAATCGCATATTTTTTATCGCATTTTGACTAAATGTTGTACTATTTTGTCACCTTACAACACAGGTTGCAATTGTCGTCTGATCCTCCGTTAGTTAGAGTTTAGGCACCGGGTAGAATGGACCACTACTTTTGTGTGAAAAAATACCAACATCTCTTGCAGATGATATCCGAAATACACAAAATGCGAATTTCTGACTTTTTATATCCTCCAGCATACTATGGTGGGTATATTAACTTTGTCATTCCGTTAGTAACTCCTCGGAATACTCATGTCAGACCCAACAAAATATATATATTCTTGATCAGCGTAAAATTCTAAGTCGATTTAGCCATGTCCGTCTGTGTGTCTGTCTGTCCGTCCGTCTGTTGTAATCACGCTATCTTTCGAACGAATTGAGATAGAAGGCTAACATTTTGAACACGTGTTTATTTTTCCAGTAGACAGGTTAAGTTCGTAAATGAGCCATGTAGGTCCACGTTTTCATATAGCCCCAATATAACGGTACCTCCAGATATTAGTATCTGTGCAGGTCCACGTCTTCGTATAGCCCCCATATAACGGTACTTCCCGATATTCGGTATTTTGATGATTTTAGCGACATTATTCACCGGAATTGTTTCAACTTTGGTATTTGAAGTTCGAAATGAATACTACAGCCTATGACAGAAAGGTATTTGTGCAGGTCCACGTCTTGGTATAGCCCCCATATAACGGTACCTCCCGATGTTCGGTATTTTGATGATTTTAGCGACATTATTCACCGGAATTGTTTCAAATTGCGTATTTAGAGTTCAGTTTTCTGTGACAGAAAATTGTCTATGCAGGTCCAGGTCTTCGTATAGGCCCCATATATCAGTAACTCCCTATATTCGGTATTTTGACGAGTTTAGGTACAATACCAACCGAAATTGTTTGAGATGTCGTATTTGACGTTCAAAATGGATG